AAAAAAAAAAAAAAGTCTCCTCTAAAATGTCCAGGTTTCCCCTTAAGGAAAAACAAATGAGCAAAACATCCAAAGCCTTGCGGAAGTCTAGGTCAATTGATTTGGCGGAGGGATGCTGAGACGACGGATGGGGAGGAGGTTCTGACCTTGGTCCTGCCTCCCGCTCCCGCCCCCGCCCCCACGCCCTCACCCCTCCAGGTCTCAGTTTGCTCCTGTGTGCAATGTCAGGTCGAGGAGACGCCTTTCCAGCTCTCGCAGAGAGCCTCGAACAAGGGATCTGGGAGTCAACTCCTGCCTCCCACTCATTCTTGCTTCCGTGACCTTGGGCCGGACACGTCGCCTTACTGTGCCTCAGTTTCCCCATCTGTAAAAGGGAGCTCCTTGGCTCCTTTAGAGGAACCGGTGCTAAAGCCCTTGTCACCGGCCTGATCCATAGCCGGCGCGCAGCATTTGGTAGGCTGTATACAGGTTAATTCCACCTCCCTTGGGTCTCTTCTCCATCCGACACAGGTTGGAGCTTCGAAATGTCAACAAAAATCCTGAGGCAAAGACAAGGAGGGGGTGGGCAGCAGAGGGCAGGGGGGCGGTCCAAAAGATCAAGAGCTGACCTACGGCAACTTGCCCGCACCATCTACGCCATCTGAGTTAGGAGCCCGCCTCCAGCACGCCCATCTGAGGACACTCGGGCTCTGCCCCTCAGTTTCCATGTCTGTGAAATGGGGATACCGAGAGCATCTCCTCATAGGGTTTCTGGTGAGGACTACATGAGATAATGGGTGAGACGCGTCTGCTGTGTCGGTGCCCGGCACACCGAGGGAGCACCTCTAAATCCAGATGGGAGGGAGAGCATCCTTCTGGAAGGACGCAGAGCCCCACCTCTGCCCCCTGAGTCCTCCCTGGAGATCCCCAAGGGCCAGCCTGCAGTTTCTTCCTTATCCACTTAGAAAAGAACGAGGGGGTGGCGACAGGGAGGCTCAGAGGGCGAGAGGGCTCAGCCTTCTCCTTTCCCATAGGAAACTGCAGTTAGCCTAATTAGGTCGGTCCCAGTCCCAGGGCCGTGGGGATTGGACAAATTTAGAAGCTTTTGACAGGTGAGACCAGCACATGCTGACGGCCCAGAGAGAAACTGAGATGGACCTTGAGTCAGCTCTTGGAAGCCTCTTTCCTTCCCTCTGTCGTGACCACCGGGATGCAGGCACCGGCCTCCTGGTTTATCACCTCGCCTCTAAATAGCTCCCAGGCTAGGTTGCTTATAAATCGGTATTGCAAACAGGGATCACTTTCCCACCCGGGGGGAGCGGGCGGCGGGGTTATTTGGGGTCAAGCCAGATGGCGGCAGGGAGCGGCCTAAACGGTCCTGGGGGCTCACTCCGTGCCAGGCACTTCCCTGGCTGTCACCCCATTTCCTCTGCACTGGCTCTTTCGTCCCCATGTTACTGACAGGGAAACTGAGGCTGTGAGTCACTCGGCCAGGAAGATTCTAATGCCGGCATGGGGTGCATCTCTCTCTCTCTCTCTCTCTCTCTCTCTCTCTCTCT